GCAATTTAAGGTACTCTCTTGTTAGATGTTTCTATTCGCTTGCATGTAATGGAGTCCCATGCGCACGTACGATAAACCTATCTGTTGTTTGGTTTTGGGTAKATAGGGTTCGAAAGCAATTTGTTTGTAGGGTGTTTTGCTGGTTTCAAAAGATCGTCACTTTGATATATTTGTTCATTCTTTGAATTTTGTCTTATTATTCAGCAAAGAAAGGTTCCCACCCACTTCTTGCTGGTCACTCGTGTAAAGAAATCAAAGATCTCGGTGAATCTCGTGGAGATGGAGAATACTGGATTGATCCTAAAAGAACTGGACAACCCTTCACTGTATACTGTGACATGACTACTGACTCAGGTAAATACCCCACAAATTACTTTCGCAATCCCATCCATTCCTGCATTCTCATGCACTGGTCGGGCACTTGTAAATAGTTCGATGCTATATGCTGTACAAATCTGTATTTGCTTTGTTCACATWATTATATCCATTAGGATTTTAAAAAAGGCATAAAAAAGACACCTGATCTACAACTGCGAAAGTAACAATTTCCTTTTTAGGGGGATGGACATTGATAAAGAGGGCACTCCTGCCTACTGCAACACCAGGTAGCTATGTAGAACGAMAGGACTACACGTTCCTTTCAAACTACAAAGATTACAGGCAAATAATCTATGTACCTGCCCTAAAAAAGCTAAGAGAAGACATGGGTTTCCATCAGATTCGATTTCGATGTCRCAAAAAGAGAGTCAATCGTACCATTCACATCATGACMACCAACAACACCGCTGGACACAAAGTACTGGATCACTTTCTCGTCAAACCGWCATGGCCGACAGCATGCAACTCGTTTRAAAGACTACCAGATGACACCTCGATTCTTGCACAGAATTGCCATAAGTGGGGCCTATCGGGGTCAGGAGAGATAGAGGTTAATCAGTGGGGAAAAGCTGGTTTAATTCGCTACCACCGAATATATTATCTCCCTATGTGGAGTAGCAAGTACGTCTTTTCCTGCTTTGACACCTCAGCGTTTTACTGCGATGACAACGGAGGTGGAGCACTCGAAGTCGGAGACATTTGGGAAGTATTTGTGCGTTGAACTATAACACTCTTTTATTAGTATTATCAACATAAAGTTAAATAAAGCACTATAGTACCTCATCTTGAATGAATTAGGACCCTCAACCAGCTCATAAAATAAAACGTTCGCACTGGAGAAAAAAGCTATAATTCTAGAGTAGATCAKTCTTATTGCTTCCATTGCTTTAGCTTAGTTTCCTCTCGTAAAGGTTTTTTTTATTTATTTTTTTTTTCTATTTTGACCCATTGTTTGATATCTCTTCTTTAAAGTAGACGATGGAAAGTGACGTTCGTATCTCTCTCTATATATATATATGTACGTTGCACATTGGTCGGATTATTTCAAAGATGAATGTAACTCAAATCAAAAAGAAATGTAAAAAGAAATGTGATTTCAATAAATGAAAACATCATGAGCTATCGGTATAGCGAGCAGCAAAATCGTCAAACTTGTCTTGCAACAGCAACATTGCTGCAAAGCAAGTTGGAAAGCGATGTTTGTGTGGGTTTTACTACTGGCGAACCAAATTGTCTCGCATCAAAATAATTTGATGCAGGTTGATCAAATCCTTATTTCTAATTGGCCAATTCAGTCAACTGATTTCGAGCGACGTCACTTTGCTGCAAGACAAGCTGGGTTGATGTATATAGTTAGTAATACGTCCGCAACATCTTCGAGTTTTGTTGCGAAAAGTAAAACCATTTTCTACTTTCTGCAGCAAACTTTTTCAACTTACAATAAACAATTTTGACGTCTGTCTAATCTATGTGGTTTTACCAACGGATGACATAAATTGTGTTTAATTAAGCAGTAAGARTAGAAGGTATCACGCGATTTATTTTCATGATTAAATGTAATGATTACAATCGCCAATATCGAATTATCGGCATTATCGTCATATTCTCCCCCTCGGGCAGTTAGAGTGCATGGCATGATACTGATGACATCATCTGCTAAGAAACTATCAACATGACCGGGCTTAGTCAAGATGCTTGACTCTCTCTCAGAGCCTCATCTTCTCGGAAGTTCATTCCCGCCTCTCTACTGAGGACGTAAACAACTCTGGTCATGAGTACCCTTAGAAACAAGCTTACTATCTAATCTCTCTATCTTCGGTACCTCAGTAACTGACAAATGATGCTGCACTTACTTGGCCGAAAGGCGGAAGCTTGTAAAAGTGAATTACTATTGGCAAAATTGACAAAACCCGCTAAGTCTTTTGTGTATAAACGTCAATCAGCATTTCTACCATGTCAGCGGAGTCCTCTCTAGAATATTCACTGCTTCTAAAAGAAAAACTCTGTCTGACTCTGTGAGAGAGACGTCGCATTTTTGACTTATGTGGTCAATAAAAGCAAATAATCATACATTCTTTATAATTATTTTTAAGCATTACATGTATAATCCTACGACTTGAGATTTTTTTAGGCCTTTTCCGTGTTCTCCCAACATCCCGCATTGTTTATTTTACCAGGAACGCACGAAAATATGTTGTTTATTGGTTAAGTAAACAGGTTTGAGTCAGTGACTGTTTAATTTAGTCAACAGACATGCAGAAGTGCTAAAAGATAAAYCTGAGCAAACAATAAGATGAAGAAATAGATTCTAGTTATTTTACATACCTGCCTGATTCAATCAGAGCCTCAACACGTATTTGTAGAAGTTTATAATACTGCATCTTAAAGTCCATCCTCTCTTCATTGTCAGAATCAGCCCTTGGACAATAGGTATTAATAATWACAAGCTTTTCTTTGTTGTCTAGCTGATGTTCTGTTAATATTGTCCGTCCTTCCTTGTCTAGGCAACTCAGCTGATCACTTGTAAACTCTTTAGTGTTGCCATAGCAACCAATGGTTGGTTCATTAGTCAATGTGGATGTCAAACCCTCTTCTGCAGAACAAGGTGTTGTKGAGTATCGGCAAAATGTTGCAACTCCTGAAATGTATGTGTGCAAAATTATATTGCAATAAATTAATTAAGAGTACATCATCAAGCTATAGTGTCAGACTGAAAGGGAGCTTAGRGAGGCAAGAAAATATCATATAGTACGCATGGATAACAGAGTTTACCTTCTATAAAAAGTGACTTTTTTGAGCCTAGCAGCATTAAAGAAATTTTGATCGCTTTCATCTCTATCCAGGTGATTGGCCAGTTGATCATTTGTTTGATCTCAGCCAATCAGTGTGCGATTTCAGTCTGAAGGAAGGCACCATCCCATAAAGAATCACAAGCTGAGAATATTTTCCTTCTCACATTAAAAATTCGAAATAGAATGAGTAAAAGTGGAAATTTACCTTACAAACCGGCACATATTGTTTGCCTTTCGGGCAGTAGACGATCGTATTGTCCTTCTAGACCATGATGGGATGGTGCCTTTATTGAATCCACCAGGCGTTCCTTGTGCACGAGCGCCAATCGYCTGGATCTTAAATTACATGTTTTTCTGGGTACTAGCTAAACTGTCCAATGTCTCAAATTTAATTTCTAATTGGGATGTTTGATGGCATGTTTTAATATATAATGATACCTGAATAGCCTGTCTTCACCCTTGAAAAGCTGAAATAAGCATTATATCCTTCCACAATACATATTGATTCTTCTAGCATGTCCCCTGTTAACAAAAGCAATATTATTATATCATACAATGGCAATAACAAATGGAAACCTTGAAGAATTGTTAAAATAATAGATGTTTCAGGACTGATTTTCGATATCTCCAACTCACAAATTTGCAATGTAAAATCTACTGGTTTTCCAAGAAGATAAAATAAATTATTAATCAATTTGAAGTAAATTTGATTTGTTGTTGTTGAGACATTTAGTGCCTATGTTGGTCTCCACCTGTATAGTTATAATTATTTTTTTTCATTAGGAGCGGGAGAGGGCATTTTTTTATATGGGATCAACTTCTGAAATAAACACTAGGTTGTGGTTTTGTGGTGTTATAAACCGTAGAGATTAACTGCCACAGGAACCCGCAGTAATCCTGATACTGACAGCGATTGTATACCAGACACCTCACCTCACCACAGCATGTGCATACGAAAAACGGTCTTTCCAGCTCGTAATGTTTTTGGGGTGCTGGTATACATGTAAACAAAATGGCTGATTGCAGTCAATCTCAAGGTATGAATTTACCTGGTATGTCATGGGATATTACCAAGAAAATAGATATACATGAACAAGAAGCTTATAGTGTATGTCATGTAGGTGGTAAAAAASGCCAATCAAATTGTATTGACAATTGAAATGAATTTTGATCAAGATTCTGATGATGAAAATCAGCTTTGTAGTTGGAGGGGGGCAGTCTCCCTTGATCCACAAAGCCTTTACCTCAATCATGCAAAGATCAMAAGAGTCCCAGTATCACCCTGTATGTTATTCAATAAATGACCCAAGTTTGCCAATGAAAGTGAAGAATTATCTAGAGGACAGTCTAGGAGACTGGGAGATATAAAGTGACAGAATCCGGAGACTTACAGGTAATTATCAAGGAGTGTTAGCAGCTGTGGTCACATAATTGCAGTCGGCTGAGTACAAACAGTTGGGCAAATAAGCTAGCTGATAGTTTTTTCGCAGATCTCCAGAATGATATGAATTTCAATACCCCGTTTTAGGGTAATTACTTGCTTAATTCTAGGTTTTGACCTCTAGCTAGGTTGGCATATAAAGAAACTTAACTTATCTTATCCGAATTTTAAAGTAGGCGACAGCTATAGTAATAGCAACAACATAGAGTACATCAGTATCAGTATAGTATGATTCAGTAGAAACAAAAGTTCAAACAAAGAAGCTAAACAATACCTCAAAATACAATGAGCCTGGCCAGGACTACATACAATAGGTTGTTGCACAGTTTACGRACAGAAAATGAAGACTCAACTTAAGTTTATTAAGTCATCAAGCTTATTTAGTTTGCGTCAGGTAACTCTAGCTTAAAAGTACTTACTTGTAATTTTGGTCTCCTGAAAGCATACTATATCCATGTCCAACTCATCCAAGAAGGTCTTTAGACTCTTTCCTCGTGTAACTGCTCTAATACCATTGATATTCCATGTCATGATCTTGATTTTCTTCCCTTGAGAAGAATCACCCTCTAAAACACCCGCCATGTTGGTTGTGCAGGGTTACAAAATTACCCAGGAGGGGAGACCTAAAAGTTCTAAATTCATATGCTTTTTAAAAACCATTTCTCTGGAAAATKATCATTAAAAACAATTATATTCCTTAAATAAAGTACGTTTGGTATCAATCTGTATAATAGCAGTCCATATTATATTAAAATTGTACAAAAGATAATAAAATGATAAATATGCAATCAGACCTCCCCACATAGTAAATGTTTTTGAAAAGTAGCTACCAGTCTCACGGTAAACAGTTGAACTTCATTAATTTCGATGCTTSGACGGGAAGTCAGGCTCTAAAACCTATTATCCGGTACATAGTCATGTAGTACAGAGATATGCATTCTGCCGCCTCGAAGAAGTTTTGTCTTCATTAAGGTAAAAGGCTTTTTTTTTTTAATTGATATGAGCTGGGACTCGCTTTTCTTATTTTTCAAAACACCGCAACTTACTTCCGCCTTTTGTCACATAAATTCCATACGATTATGCAATGATCTAAGTGCAGTTCTGCATTTTCTTTGCTCTGATTAAGATTTCAAAGATGGCAAGTAATTCTGAGATTCCCAGGTCTGACGTGCTAGTTGAACAAGACACACATAGCCAGGGGCAAAAGCAAGAAAGCAAAAACCAATTCCACATGCAAAGTTCCCTGCCTAGAGATGTACTGTTGAGTCGAATGAGAGCAGTGCTGTATGGGAATTGTATTGGCGATGCAATTGGTTTATTGACAGAGTTTATGACTAAAGAGGAAGCGCGMGATGTGAGTTAATTAAAATTGTTGGTCATTTATCCAGGCATGTATTCATCCACACGGGGTCCCATTCTTCCATTCATTTGTTTATTTATTCATTCATCTATTTATTTTTTCAAGTGGGATTTAAATGCATAGAGGTGGGGGGGGGGGGGGGTGCGGAGGGAATCAAACACCTATGGCACTAATTCCAAACTGAATTCAATTATTAACAATCCTATTCCAATTCTATAAGTTAAAGCCATTATTATTAATATTATATAATGTAAAACTTACAAAAATTCTACTGAAAAATCTCAAAAAGGCACTATTTACTTTTGAATAAAATGGTCTTGGGCTCGATAATTAAAAAGGTGAAAAAAGTCAAACTGAATTCATGAAAGACTGTCACAATACATACATTGTAGCATCTAAAASTAGTTTGCTACGCAAGTGCAAATTTCCCACAAATGATAAATTATTTACTGACATTGGAAAATTACTGTCTTATACACATTATGAATATAATAGTGTCCACACTTTTATGTCATTCCTGGKCTTCTAGTGCATGATACAGCTTTTTATCCTTTGCTATTGAAATAGATTTATGCCAAAAAGAAGAAGTTTTTKGGAATGATGACAACCAAGTTGACAGCTGATGAACTAAAACTGGAATATGAAATGAAGCATAATGATTTTCATCGTTCACGCTGGCAGACAGGAGACTGGACCGATGACTCTGATCAGATGATCTTAATCTTACGAAGTCTACTGGAATGCAATGGAAAGGTACTCATGAATATTAATTTATGCATGACCTATGCAGTTTGCATTGGTGTACCAAGTACAAATAACGGTCTGACAATAACCCTAATTATTTCAGTGCTAAATTCACAATATTAATTGAAATATTTGTGTCTTAAATATATATTTGGCTTGTAATAAGAACACAGACTCTTTTGAACTGGAAGAAAATTAAATTCCAAACTTGAGCCTAATATTGCATAATGAGTTTATAATTAATGTCAAAAGAAGATATAGTGATCAACTAAAAGGACAGACTGAATAATTTTTCAATGTCGTTCACACGTGATGAGAAAGCTTTTTAAAAGAGGTGTTATTCTCATATGACATTTAGTTTTGCATCCAGTTGCCATATTGTCTCTGAGAGAAATTGGGATTTTGGGAAAATTGGAAAGAGCACTAGTTTCCATTGAGTTTGATAAAAGCACCTAGGGGACCATACATTTTTTTTATCGAGAGTGGTGGTTTTGAGGGTAGGTACTAACTTCCCCAACTTGGRGGGAGGGGTGTGCCGCATGACCCTCTAAACCCTTATCCTATCCCAGACCAATTTTTTTGATTTTAAATACCCTACCTCAGACTAAAGGTATAAAGGTACGTTAGCAATGTTAGCGCTTACAGCGTGGCCTAGGCTCCACCCTATCCCAGACAATGAGACTATACCCTATCCTAGACAAAAAAAACACCCCATCACCTCTCCCCCCTTCCGGGTGCAGAATAACTTGATTTCTGATTTATTCAATCAACACATGAAAGGCTCAAAAACTCAACTCAATGCACGGCCCGTTTGTTGTTTCAATGGAAAATAATGTAATAATATGATTACTAGGATCTTGAACAGAAAAGTATCATTTTTGATTTTCTGTAACATTTTTGCTTTGTGGGCTTTTGTTAGTGAGATAGATCTTCGATGACGTTTGAGAACGCATTAAACGGGGTTTGGCAAAATGACAAAATATATACCTACAACATCAATCTGTAAAATGCACAACACAATGACATACTTTTTAATAAATTTTGGAATAAGAAATGCTTTCACCATTTCCAAAAATTGCAGATGGTACAGTTTGCAGAATTTGAAAAGACATTGTAGACTAATTGCCGTGCATAAAAAAAAGCACGCGGGATGTTGGGAGAACACGAAAAAAGACCTAAACATCACGAGGACACGAGTATTGCTTTATTTATGTATAGAAAGCTAGATCGCTCGCGAATGTGCATTTACCGGCGAAATATATTACGCTCTGGGACCAATCAGAGCGTACTATCACATTTATATTATAAAATGTAAATAACAGTCACATGTAATATCTGACGGAGTTTGGGGAGGAAAGCGTTAGCAATTGAATGAAAAATTAAAACCAAATTCACAATAACTGCATGTTTATTGGCATTAAAGACTGAGCAAGTTCAGTTATGGTCGTCGACCAAAGAAAAGTGTACGTTCAAGAGAACGCTTTCGCTCTTTCTTACATATACTGGGAAGCTCAAACACCTTTGGGTTGGGAGCACTTGCGTCAAAGGATTGCCAGTAGGAWTSAAAGTGGCCGGACCGTTCTCGTTTTATACGKTWTTGTACTGGCCTACTGAATATAGCGGCGAATTCAACGACATTCCAGATGTGGGTGTCTTTACCAGAGGTCCCTATCCAACGATCAGTTTGAATTCCTGTCACCATTTCTGTGCCATTGTATTTGAAGTATTTTGGGATGTTGTTTGGTTCTGGAGGAAAAGAATCAGCGATTCGCATTTTGCACGTCTTTTCGGAAGGAGTACTGTGATATGTATACTGTAAATTAAACAAAATGTATTTTTTAGTGACTGACAGCTTTAAATTTTAAATAAAAATGCCCGTTTGAAAACGGCAAAGTTTCTGGTTTACTGTCTGACTTAGACGGCAATGAAGTCTGGTGTGYTGATAGTCTAAGATAGCARTAATTCAGGAATAATCGGTTTGGTTTACAGATCTAAGATAGCAATAATGGTTAACTGATTGGCTGATGTTTAAGACTATTATAAAGAACACTTACAACATCAAATGATGAGTGATTGTTAGGAAGAACAAACATTGAAGAATATCTTGGATAATCATATTGAACTGAAGATGAGATCATCTGCATGTCTTCACGATATTTCTCTTGATTCTTAACGTCACGCCACATTGACAGCTTGTACACGCTAAAATGTATAACAACATCATTACASATTAAGCAAAATAAATCAGTAATCAGTTATTGATATTGATTTTGATCTTTCGGACGTGGAAACACCGACACAGCTCACAATAGTTTACCGCTAGTTTCCACCATTTTATACAATTAATGATGATTAGTTATTCAGATGATTAATGTGTAGTCTTACTCTGTAGTACAAGGAAGTGGAGTACAGTCATAGATGTCTATAGAATAGATATTGGCAGAGTATTGAARTGGCATGATTGGCGGTATTTTGGTGGCACACGGGGTTTCATAAGCACCACATGGTCTATGCATACATGTACACCTACATCAATAAATGATAAAAGAATGGTTTAGAATGAATGTCATAAATGCAAGTTGAAGAATGAATACTTGGAACTTTGCAGTCGGTGTGGCCACAGCGGCCTTAAGTGTTTTGTACCAGGGATAGCAGAACCGGCGGGGACAGGGTAGCAAATGAGCCCCCACCCCCCACAAAATCTTAATTCCCTCACCCCCCCTTCCCAAAAAAAAACGAGTAGTTCGCTTACACCTGTACAATTTTCRTCATTCGATCAACTTTTACATAATTGAAGAAATCACTTTACCTAGTATTTGACGGACATTGGTGAATTACATGAAATATCTGATCAGTAATAGGATCTTTGCTACAGTCATGGTAAGCAGATTGGTCAGCAAGGCARTATTTACCAGGAGGGCCTTCATCACATACGCTAGCAGAGCACCAGGGCACTAACACCAGGGCAACGAGAGTACCAACCAAAGATATTTCCATTCTAAGTAAAATAAATTCACAATGTATAATTATCAAGAGGAGCCGACGGTATCCTGGGAAAAATATATCTGATCTTATGTCCCAGCCAGCTGTAAGTCACAACTGGTTGCCAGCAAAATTATATTACATTTTTTTATTCCAGGAGAGAAATAGGTTGAAAGAATTTTTCCCAGGAAACTCTTTACGTCCATTGCAGGAAGGAAAATCATAAATATCTTTTAAATACTCGAGTGCTTTAGCGACCCGAAGGGAGAGTTTTTCCCAGTCTGAAAGGTCACAACAGTTGCTTGTCAAAATTCTAGTTCAAAATCCCTTTCCCAGGAAAAAAATGTATAAGAACAGTTATTTAGAAGAACAGACCTTGTCGGCTCCTCCTGAATTATAGATTTAATGCTTATTTGATTTCCACAGTTAGGCTTATAGTGTAGGGGGAAGACATGGCGCAGTCTTGTTCGTTTTTTTAGGGGAGAAAGATTAATGGATTATTTTGCTCATTTCAYCAGATTTAATAGATCTTAACTCTTATTCCACAACATACACGCACAATTATATTACAATGATTGTGCGCAATCAGACTGCAGCACAGAATCGTCATTACACCATAGCCCTTTTCTCAGTGGTCCAGCTCCAGAAAAAAACAATACCATATTTGACAKCATGGACAAAAGATGTTTGTATCGAATCTAGACCGCAATGCAATGCAAAATGCTATTTCAGAAAAGGCTTATTTGATCCCCTCGTCTAAAAAGAGGGTCGACTGTTAGAATTGTAACATCATAATTAGAAATAATGATCGAATACGAACAGTACACATAGAACGTATTTACATAAGGTACGTAAAATTAGGGCAACTCGGAAAGCAAAATCAGACAATGTTTTTTTTTGTTTAATAATCTTGTTTCACACCATTAATAGGCCATGCTTGAAAACACTTCGCGACAACGTTTATTAGTTGAAAATGTAAATTCTCGATGTATAATATATAGGAATATCAGCACAACTGCCACACATTAATTCTTTTGAGGATATCACAGTGTTTCGTTACTGATGTTACGAACTGATTTACATTGACCATAGTCATCATCAGAGGACGTTTCAGAACCAAGTGGCAGTTGTTTAAAAAGATAAATTTAAGGCATCGTAAAAATAGGTGAAACAACTTACTGACGTTTCGCGGACGTTAATCCTTCGTCGGCGTAAAAAGCGGCGAAGGATTAACGTCCGAGATGTCAGTATGTTATTTCACCTATTTTCTTACAGTGTTAAATTTATCTTTTTACKCAACTGTTTCTTTAGAAACACCGACGCAGCTCACACTAGTTTATTGCTAGTTTCCATCATTAGAACCAAGTTGCCAATTTTGCGACATAATCCGGCAATGGCAACACATTGAAATTCCTAAGGACTGCAACGTTACTTGGTGTGTATTTTCGGGAATTAATGCAGAATTTYCTAACTGAAACCTTACAAAGGGTGTGTGACGGTATAGGACAGAGTAGGAGTTTTTAACCTTTTAGTTRGTCCGGCATAGCACTTTGTTTGATTGATACAATCTGATCATGAGCAATTCTTACTGTCACTATGTATACGCTCATAATATTGACGGCAAAACGACAAAATAATTATCGACGACTCTAGTTGAAATCGATTGGAACCTTGTATTCATCGTTTTCTTCTTTTCTTTCTTCCCTTCTGTTTCTWCTTTTGTTTGAGGCCCTGTAGCCTGTATCCCTTGTTCTGATTTTTTGAAAATATCTCATATCCCGTTAGCTTTTTTAACTCGAAGATTGCATATAGGAGAGGGAAACGATTGTGAGCTGTGTCGGTGTTTCTACGTCCGAAAGGTCTCAATAAGTTGTTTCACCTATACTATTTTACGCCGTGTTAAGACTCCCGTGTTAATTTATATTTTTACTGAGTGAATAGGTAGTTCCCAAGTACATGCGTATGTTTTCTCGATTAAATTGTTAAGACTAGTATTTAAATTCTGTTTTCTTACCTGAATCGTCGTCTGGTTAGTTTAGTCAGCGATGAAGCAGAACGCGGAAGACGGGAATGAGCTGAGTGACGGTTACATTCCCTTATCATAGGTTAATGAATCACGTGCATGACATCTTTCGATATCAGAATAATKCATGTATTGAACTGAAGCAACATCTAAAATGCATCTGATTCAACTGTTTTGCACCACGTGATTGTGATCTGTCAATTGGTGAAATGTGATTACAATGTTTCGATCGAAACAAAGTTTAAACCTAAGTAGTTTAGCTAATAATTCATGCTGGTTGGTTTTGCGTCAAAGGTGTTATAGTCGAAGCAGATGRCCAGCCGCCAGCAGAGAAGAAACTGCATTCATGACTGTAGTGTTAAACGCCTTCAGAGCTGGAGAGTTGGTACCTCATTGGATAGTAAGTTCCAAGTACGAATGGTGTTTGGAAAAAAGAGGTGTCACAGTCGTTCACGTTTAAAGTGATCTGGACGTACTTATGTTCTGAATGTCTAGTTTTCCCTTGAGCTATCATATATATTTCATGTATTTCATAGTACAAATACTCATATAATTAGATTTCTATTACTGCGACTTAACATCTATTTCACTTCGACGCTACCAGTCTGACATTGTTGCTCAGCTGGTAGAGCATCGGTAGTATAAAATCCGAAGTTCGTGGGTTCGAATCCCAACAAGGTCGGAAATYAATTYTTCAGAATTTATTTTCAAGGGTCCCTAATCAGGAATAACTTCCTTCTAAGCACTATAACGTTTTCTCTATGTTTGGTTCAACACGTGGCTGTTATCTGTCAATCAGTACAATGTGACTACAATGCACAGATCGAAACATCACGATTSAACTGTTTGTGACACCACGTGACTGTCATCTGCCAATCAGGAAAATGTGATTACAATACTCAGAATGAAACACCACGATTCAACTTTTCTTACACCACGTGACTGATCTGCCGATGATGCAATGATGTTCTGTGTAGTGTTCTAGTACAGGTAGAGATATTAAAAAAACAGTCTAAAACCCCACAAAACCACAGAAAAATGTTTGATAACAGATGTCGTTTATGAAAAAAAGTAAAATCCGTTATTTTCTGTACTCTGTTCCGAAAATAGCTTTATTTTTTTTGCTCTGAATTTATGCATGCTATGTGCTCCCCTCATCATCAGTACTAGATAGACAGTGTAAGCACACAAATAAATCTTTATTATATAGGTAGGATAGAGCGATATAAGCTACACAATGATGGAACGTTAATATTGGATCTTTTACAGTTTGTCTTTCAAAATAAAATCAGGGAAAACGCGGCTATAAGCTACACGAAGTGGCAGATTTATATGCCTATGTTGCTTAACACTGCAAGCCTTTACTTCTATCGAGTCTTGAACATAACAATCTTTTGCTTTTTTAGATAGTATTTGTTATTAACATGCTGCTCATTCTAGCAGCCAGTTCTTACACACTATACCTGTGCATTGTTGATTTCGGTCCGTATTATGAACAAACGAACCCCCCCTCYCCCCACCTCCCATTTGTATGGCAGCCTACGGGCCTGAATTGGATGGAAACGTTTTTTTTGCAAACGCGATAGCTGATTAGGTCTATTAGGAGTTTGTAAAGTATGATTGTGGTTTTAGGTGGATGTGCCAAATTTTATTCAAAAGTTCAAAGTTTGGACTGAGACTGGATACAAGGAACTTGGTGACATGGGAGGAATGGGAATTGGAAGAACAACATTCAACGTCATTCTCCATAAAACCTTTCTAAGTGACCCACATAAGGTACGATAATTATTGCTACATGTAACCAACAATCCATCTATAGATAGATACATGATATAGAAATAAAGGAAATTTATAGTGCTTGCAAGGAGGTCATTCCTGGAGAAAGACCCTTGGAAATAAATTCGGAAAATTAATTTCCGACCTCGCTGGGATTCGAACCCACGACCCTCGGATTTGTACTACCAATACTCTATCAGCTGAGCTACAAGATCAGACTGGGAGCAGGGATATAGAAGTTAGGTTGCGGTAATTAGAATAGTAAATAGTAAGGACTGCATGGCACATAGTGCCATACGKTCCCTACATTCACTGCAGCATATAGATAGATCATCCCAATCCTCAATTTCTTCATGAATTTACTTACTTCATGAACTTAGCTTAGGGAGAGGGAATCCAAATTTGATAATGTCTTGAGGTAAAATTAAAAAACACCATTTTTCAAGCTTTTTACTAWTCCATCCCTGCAATCCGGCACTATGAAACTCATATCTACATTTTATCTAAAAAAGAAAGCAAGCAAACAAGCAAGTTGGTGTATAAACCACTTTCGTAAGTGCGCACCATTGATTTTTATATACAGTTGACAATATAATGAAAATATTCACCACTGTCATATGGAAGAACTATTAAAAATAGGTATTCTTGGAAAGTTTTGAAGTTATGGACCAAATACTAACTAAGTTACGGAGGAATAAAAATACATGGATTTGTATGGAATTCCCGGGTCAAGGCAGGCTGAGGCCTTGATAGCCTCGTTTTAGTGTTTTTGTACCTCTTCTAACCCTTATAACTTCAAGACGATTTAATATTTTTCTGTGAAACCTTCAGAGTTTATCTTTAGCTCCGATATCTATCAACTAAGTGTTTTCTTTTGTCAGCATTATGAACTTAGCGATAATATGATAATTAGTGTCGGCCATTATGAAAGTCAGGTCTTGAAAAGGTTGTCCGCCTAATACAATTTCAATTTCAGTTTATTTACACTAATCCGTAAGATATTTTACATATGTATTACATAAACAAGGAAAATTAGAAAAAATAAATGAATATATTGTTAGAGACAGAGTGAAAGTGTATGTTGGCCAAAGGAGCGATAGCTTTCGAGTTGGCCAACATAATGATATAAATAGATAGGTTCACTAACTAAAATAATAAAAAAAAGTAAATAAGTATTATAGTAGTGCAAAAATCTCTGAAAAACTAGAATAAAAATAATAATAATAATAATGATAATAATAAATCATTTAACATATTATTATAGTAGTATTAATTTATGTTATTATGATAGAAATATAAATGAAAAAAACACTTTGAGAATTGGAAATAGGAATTATATGAATTTTCCATGATATACCGCCATAATACATTTCTAAATGTTCTATTTTCCATATTCACTTGAAAGTGAAAATATTCGCTCTCCATTCGAGTAAAATGGTCTTTAATGTCAGGTGTGTTTTATAGTGGAGAAGTGCCCGGACAGGTATTTTTCAAATTTGATTATRCAGGAATTAGACAATGTTCCACGTATGTTCAAGAACTGAATATGTATCAAGACACATGACAATTGGAACATGACAATTGCAAACATTGAAAACCTATTTATGCAAATCACTTTGTTGATGTCTCTATCTCTTCACAAGTGAACAACGTAATGGGATTGACTATATGTTGTACAATAAAAGTGTTCCCACAGTCTAACAATCACATACTAAACAATATCTTTCTCGAAATTATTTCAGAGTGCATATGAAGTATGGGTTGAAAGTGGACGAAGGGCGGCACCCAATGGTGGAGTCATGAGAACCTCCATCCTTGGCATACAAGACTTCAGTAACATGGAAACTGTTATAGAAAATACCCGAAATATATGTAAAATAACTCATGCAGACCCAAGATGCATTGCTTCATGCGTTGCCGTGACAACAGCTATTGCTTTGATGTTACAAGGAAAACATTGTAAAGGAAGYGACTACTTATACGATGAGAAAGAGATTTGTAACCAGGCCTACGAATATGCTTGCAAAGAACTAGAAACTACTGAAAAGGTGAACAGTTTTAATGGAGTGTTGCTAACTAAATCATTTAAAATGAGAGTTGATGGCCGTACACTACTGTCGGAAGTCAAATAAGTTTTGAAAAGCTTTCTCCGGACGCCGGCATCATCAGGCAACGAAAATATAACACTGAAGGACAACTTCCTAATTCTACATTATGTAACTTTGTATAATATTTTGATTTTGTATAAYGGTTTTTCACCACACTTGTGTAAATTCTCGCGCGCTGATTGGCTGATTTGAGTGTGTCAATAAGACGGCATGCAGTGTGAAGACACCATCACAGCTAGCCTGTTCTCAGTTGAAGGGAAATAATTATTTCTCTAATATGTAGACGTAAATGAGGTAAAAAAAAKTGCACACGGTTTTTCGTTGTATGTCTTCTCTGTCATAACGTCAAAAGTGTGTCAATAGGAGAATATACAACTCAAAACTGTACGCAGTTTGTTAAATTTTACTCGCACTCGGATCGGTCAAAAACAAAGTACACACGCACTAAATGGCGCGCTATTCAATTTTACGCGCGCATTAATAAACAATATATTAAGGGATTAAAATGGATACAGAAGACATGGAAGGTGTTAGTCTTTGTTTGTTCTTTTGTCTTAAATCCGTTTATGTTTTTCTCCACTTTTGCTGCACGCATGACTTCATTCCTTTGTATTTTCTTATGTTCTCGGCTTCTTTAAAGTGCTTATGTCGTAGTGTCGGAACCGGCCATTAGTGTCAGGACTTTGCAATTCCCACTGCAAGTACGACAGGAGATAGAATGATTCCCTGGTCTTTATTTGCAGAAAGAGGAGTTGCATAAGCACATGTTTGCATCCACTCTGGCTGAATTACAACTGAGTGATGATGATAAAATAGGATACACTTACAAGTGCTTGGGTGCTGGTTTCTGGGCCTTCAGGCAGAGTGATTTTCGCCAAGCAATAACTGAACTTGTAATGGAGGTATACTGAGAATTCATTGCTTTTTGCTTTTATAAACTAAAACTGAGTTACTAGCAATTTTATTTGAAAAAATTCTGTCTGCAGCACATATTTTGAATCGTTTCCATTTTTAGGCTGGTGATGCTGACACTAACGCTGCAGTGGCTGGTGCATTACTGGGTTGTAAACTTGGCGTTGAGAAGCTACCAGACTCCTGGCTGAACGGCCTGCTTCACAAACAATGGCTGGATGACCAAATAGACAGGTTTGTAGAAATGCAATATAACAGAAATGCAGTCAAACTTCAATCTCAATTCCCAATCGAGGCGATCAATTTGTTGTGTGTTAGGCAAGTCGATTTGTCAGAACTTCCGGTACCTCCTTAATGCGTAATGTCAGAACAGTAGAGCGTAGTCGTATGACTGTGCTTATTATATATGCATGGACACTAGGCATCGCAACCAATTTCTGCTGGCTAGTGGTATATTACACAAAASCAAAWCCTGTTTTAAAAACTCTTGCAGGTCTCTGAAAGAAATCTCTTGCGGATAATGATTGCCAGAAAATGGAAGGGATATTGAGTTGGGTRGTTTGCGATAAAATTTTTGCAGAAAAGCGGCATCTGTGTCCCTTGTCATATCTCCCTCTATKCAGTATTGTGATATCGTTCTTATATGCGGGGAATATTGTCAATGGTAGCTTTAAAATATGCATTTAATTGTTTATTTTAGGTATTTTTCAATGTTGGGGCTGGAAATGTAGGCAACTTGCAGTTAACATACTACAACTCGCGACACAGATTTGAAAGACTTCATTTGTGTTCCAATTGGTTTCGTGTAACTATTCCGCTTAACTACGAACACCAAAGCCAGGTCATTTTATTTTTTTAATTTTAAAAGTAGTGTTTAAAAATAAAGGTCCATGCATATGACCAAATAGGCTCATTCTATTGGCCGATTAACTCATTAATTATGTATGAGTTTTTGAAGTAATGTATACAGAACGAGAGAGCGTGTTCTACCGGGTGATAAAGATCCGAGCCGAACCTATGTCGCCGTTATTAAATATTCGTCAAATACCGGTATATCTGTTTKTATGTTGGGAATTTCTAAGTGATCAATTGAAAGTTGGATTTGACACATTAGAAGCAAGCTTTTATTAGAGAGCTTACACTAGAGACAACGCACAGAAATGGGCCGGGTTGGAGGGGGACGTTTGGGTTTGCGGTATTACAGTATTGAGCGCGGTTTTTTTTTATGCAGTAATGCCGTAAAATGATCAAAATCTTGCGGTAATACGGGATATGCGATCCGTGCGATATGCGATATTTACAATTTTAAAATGCAAGATTACGGGAAAATATTAGAGAGAGTTTAAGCATAAAAAATATTAT